TCATATCATATAATATAATATAATATAGTATAGTATAATATAATATAATATAATATAATATAATATAATATATATATATATATATATATACGGCACATACCCACCCCCATTACCAATAGACGCACAGAGTTATAGACTAGTACTGTACGGATATGTGTATGTGCATGTAGATACACACATGTAACTACATAATACCTACTCATACCTTTTAGAGCTGAATAAAAACCCCAAAAAAAGACGTACATCACGGGCCGAGTCACCGAGACAGTTATGGCGGGGGCGGGCGGGTTGCTCGGTTCGATGTACGCCCAGAGATCAGAAATAACTTTCTGCGATGTCCTTATGGTGGGCACTGGAAGTGGGGGTTGCGCACACACTGGAGTACACTCTAGACTCTGTCTGAAATGTGCTGGCATGTGCCTGCCCTGTCATATCGCTTTCGCCACTGGCTTGACGTGTCGCTGTTGAGTACCGCCTCTATTTCACTAGATTGTCAGTCCGTCGGTCAATGATTGTGCGAGTGTGAGGCTGTTTGATTGTGCACGCCTCAGTTTCTCTTCAATATGGGGCCGTGTCAGCCTGTGGCATCTGCTGCATCTTCGAATGATACTTCTCGCACACCAAGGCATCTGAAGGACATGCCGCTGCGCTACCCTAGGCAGCAAGTTTTCACAAGGCCCAGCATCAATTCGCTCACATATTGGATAGCATAGCTGGAAGCCATCTGCTGGGCAATGGCGCTCTCGCAGATTGTCTTCTTAAAGATCTCTTCGTTCAATGAAACCTTGGTGACACTACAAAGCAGCTTGCATTAGCTGAGCGCCACACTGCAAGGATGGCTGGTTCTTCGCGAAAGCTCTCTGCAGCAAAGACATCTGACAAGACCAGCCTTGCTGGCGACAAAGACTTCCCAGCTGATCACCGGGCCGACGTCAATCAAGCAAACATGACCCCGCATCTGGTTGCATGGTTGCTGCAAGTTTTGCATGGTCAAGACTGAAAAGATGGAGCTGCGCAAAGAGAAGTTACTTCGAGTCCCGCATGTGCTATTGTAAGGAGGCCTACTCCAAGAAGAGCTTCACCACATGCATGTTGCTTGCAGGGCTATTACCCCGGACATGGAGAAGATTACCTAGACTTGGGTTTTCACATGTACGGCCGAGCTTTTTCGATGCCGGGGCGGGAAAAGACGGGACATGACGGGACTAGGCATTGTTTCGATGCCACGAAGTAGTTTTCGATGTCCGGGAGTGCAACCCCTTGATTGCACACTCTGGGAATTTGGTTTCTGTCCATCGGTAGTTTTTGCTGCCCACATGGTATGGCTGCCGCCACCCACTTCTCAGGGTGCAGGGCTGACACACAGAAGACATGCTGACCGTCAGGCTTGAAATAGTTGCCAACATTCTTCCACAGAAAAGCAGCGAGCCGCGACACTTCTTCAGCCACCAGCGTGCCTCATGCTGCTTCTGCAGCACAATCATGGCATATGCTTTATATTATGTGTATGGTTGCTTCCACGCAAGAATTCTGCATGAACACAAGAATCAAGAACGGTCTTACACTCCTCCTAGACAGCAGCAGGGCGAAGAGCTGTGCAAGGACAAGATGCCCATAAACTCCCAAGAGGTCCAAAGGCACATCTCGGATATCCAGATGCCATCTGGGCAAGAGCATTCTCAGGCGTCGGAACATCAGGCAGCCATCAAAAAACAATTCTGGCGACATTTCAAGCCCAACAGCAAAGGCTTTCCCTTCTCCTGCCTGTAACTTCTTCGGAGTGCGACGCCTGGTAGTACTTCAAGGTCCCGTGCAGGTTCACGTAGGTCGTCTGACATCGACATCATCAACAACAGCTCTGCTTCAAGTGAGGTTTGCCAACCCCGGCGCCCTATGATGCCGTGATGCTCCCTTTGCCTTCGCATCGTTGTCGGCAAAAAAGACAACGTCGCCTGGTGCGACCAAAAGGAGGTCCAAATGTCCTGGTGCAAGGCAAAGGTATACTCCGTGTTGCTTGAAGTTCAGAGTTCCTGAAAGCATGCGGTCGCCTGCCCAATGATCGCATGGAGCCACTCAAGGTACCATAAACTGAAGAACCTTTCAATTCAAGACCCTGGCGCTACCGTTCCCCTCCTGCGAGTTGGTGTGTCAGCCGGGTGATTTGAAGGTCATTGCCTCAGCATGCAGGCAGTCTTGCGAGTTGTAAAATCATAGCTTACCGGCCTGCTGCGCTGCACAAATCCTACATTACGGGGGTCGTCCAGCAATGTGTGAGAAGACTGTCGGACAGTTGAAACTCCAGTAACACAAAGAGGATGCGACCGAGGATTTCCTGGTCTGAAAACCAGAGGACTATGTAGAAGGTCTTGCTACTGCCTGCTTGACACAGAACCGGCCGGCAAAAACAATGCAAGTCACAGCCCATCAGCTTGCGCAGGAAAGGAAGAGCATCCAATTTCTCCGCGAAGCGCGCAAAGCGCAGCTCCGCTTTCCTTGCGGGTTCTATGAAAAGTGTGGTTTAGAATTGGGACTTGGCCAGAATCCTTGAAAGGTCACTGTGAAACAACAAACTTGACGCAGTACCTCTGAATACAATATGACCCAACAACCTTTGGAGGCCCCGCCGTATCTCTTGGATGTATTCGTAGCACAAGACGACAAAGGCACAAAGGAGTTGAGAGCATGTCGAGGATGGCGAGGTCCCCATCTTGGTCGCTCTCCTTGCGCAGTCTCGTTAACGTGTTCTGCTAACTCTGCATGTCAATGACAAGCTGAGATTCCTGGCTCTTCTGAGGGTAGGAATGCTGAACAAACTGCACGATGCGGGTGCTGAGTTCTTGCGGGATGTGGTTGGCTGCCAGGAACCTGCGTAAGGCACGGAACTGCGAGATCTCCTTGGCAGTGTTGTCAGGACTCATACTTTTTTCAAGTCTTCCTCTGATACTCAAAGGTTCTTATCTGTTGTAGTTGTAAGGCCACAAAATCTTGCTCTCGCTGCCCCGCACGCAGACTCTTGGATCTCATTCAAGGTGGTCATCAAGGACGTCATGGTACTGACCAGGGTGGAGAAAATGAGTAAGGAAGCCATGGCAACGAAGCTCGCAAAGACATGCTCCAGCAGGCTGACGCAATGAATCTCCTCGGTGGACAAGTCTTTGCACCCCTGAACTTTCCGTGAAGTCTCCTCGAAGCCTGCTTGACCTACTATATGGGGGGTTCCCGAAAATAGGGGACCCCAATATAGTACCCTAAATAATAGGATCCTTAGGACCCCTAAATAAGGTACCCCTAATTTTCGGAAACTCCTATATGTCCCTGCCATGTGCTGCGGGCGAGTTGCTGTATTGCCGACACCAAGCTGTGAGAAGGCCCAATAATACGAAGTCACATACTGAAAGGTGGGTCCGGCGTCCTCCCAGCCCTGGAGCTTTAGCCACGTCTCACCACCATCCTCAAGAAGAATCTCAACTGTGGTGTCAGCTAGGCCTGTCTCGGAGAAACGTATAGAAATATTTTGGGATTTTAGACAAAGAAGCACGGGTCGTGAAACGCATGCGTCGAAACCCTCCTTCGCCTTCGCTTGAAAAAAATGCGTATATTTGCATACTTACTATGTCAAGCTGCACCCAGCTGGCTGATACCATACCAGCCTCGGGGCACTTTGATTTAAAGCATACGGAGCACATAGCCAAATCATTCAGAACAACCGATTCAACTATCCAAGCATGGCCCTCCGAAAATAAATCCGCGATGCAAGAAACACAACATGAGACAATTCTGGACGAGCGGCAGCATGCTATGATATGATTGATGATTACCAACCCAGTTAGCGTGCCGAGCAAATTGAACTGAATGCTCGCAGCTTGAGACTGTAGTTGATCATGAAGTTGTCCACTCATCTTCCTCCTGAGCATGTCACGATTGACTCTGCAGCCTTCGATGTGTAACACTTGTCTCATCCTGTCCATTCCTGTCCCGTCCCCATGCTCTGGCATCTGCCAACAGCTGGAAAAAGGTCGCAAAGCCAACTTAAACTGGAATTGCGCAACCTCCTTTCAGCTAGGTGTCAGCTTGACCAAACGTATCACACGGAGCAGGCTGAGGAACTCCCTCGCAGGATCTGCTTCACCAATGTTGCTGAACCTCCGAACAGCCCACACTTTTGCTGACCCTGGCCATCAGTTGCAGCTGCCGAGGAGCTTTAGTCCTCAATGCCTCCGAGCACTGAAAACTGCTAGAGCCACCCACCCTTCCTTTATTCATCATCCTGGCAGCAGGAGCCAATCCTCAGCCACGCAAAGGGTGTCGAGCAACAGCCTTAGTTCACCGAACTCGCTGAACGGCTGGTAGAATATTGCGAGGGGGCTTCAAGTCGGGCCAAGTGCAGCAGCAAGCAAAACGGCAGTTGATACTTGGCCAAAGGGGGCGGACCAGAGTTCCGATCTGAAGCCGTGCAGTGCGTGAGCAGTTGTCTTCAGCCGGCGTACTACTTCCTGCTAAATGGCGAAGGCCGAGATTTAGTTGAACGGTGACTTGGGACGAAGACTCCTTTAGATTCCCGTTGCCGGTTTGTTACGCAACGGCCAAGGGGCCAGGTTCTCATGTAGCGGCAAAAGATCCTTCTGAGGTCGTCAACCAACATACCCATCTCATAGTAACCTGCATCAAATGACAGGCGTAGGAGCATGGTGTGCTCACGGCCATTGTCGGAGCAGCCTACTGCCGGTTTTGCCCAGTTATCACCTACATGATCCCCACAGCCCAGCTCCCAGCCAACCTGTCAGCATATTCATTGCGATGTCTGCCATCCAGAAAATTCGAGCACACCAGGCAAGACTCTGCACGCCGTAATGCCTCAGTGGCAGCTTATGCATACTCGAGATGCGGCTGCTTAGGTTCTGGAAACCTCATTTCAAGCTGTAGTACTGGCCTCAGAAGCAAAATCCAAATTATCTGCTAATTACCCTATTGCAGTAGAAGCTGCGTCCCAAGAGATCTAGCAAGACGCATGCTGCATGCCACCAATCTTGACATATCTTGACATGCATGCAAGACTTTGCCGGCAAAGTGCTTCCGGAGTCCGAAAAAATAGAGTGGCAAGACCAAGGCGTCATGAAGGATGAAAAGAATTGAAAGGATATCCTGAGCAGCACTGCATGGCAAATCTCACGCAGCCAAATACATCAACATGCTTTCAAAAGATGACATGCCGTGCACAGAGTCTGTAACTGGATCTTTGCCATGACTGGGCTGGTCCCTGCCAAGCGGGAATGTGCGCAACCTATCAATCATGAGGAAGCCGTCAAGCTGCCCAATAGTATCGGAAGCGATCTCCTCGCGCAATACGGACAGAAGCTTGTCACTACGTACACTGCTGGCGGTTGGACCGCAAGCTTCGAGTCTCTGAGAGTGGCATGGCCTGGTTGCAGGGGAAAGCAGACCCAGCAAGCTGCAAAGTACCTGATGGACGGAGAGGACATGGGTCAAACCCTTTCCACCCGCCCGCAATCGCGCGTTTCAGTTCCAAAATCAGATTGAGTACTTGACTCGACTGCCCGCAGGTTGTAGGCTGTCTTAGTGGGAACAGGATTCGGAAGAAGGGGCATTTGATTTGCTCCGATTCGCAAGCTCGATTCCGGTCGCATATCCAGAGAAAACAATCACGCACCTTACTGTACTTGTGGCCTGGCAACACGACAGGGCAGAGCTCCTCGAACTACATGAGCTCTGTCACTGGGAGAAGCTAAATGCAGTGATTCGTCCACTTTGGCCTGTGGCCTTGTGCTGTTTACAGGTATAGCTCGCATATGAACCTTACCTCCTCAAAACAATTGGACTCGGGATTGTTTGCGCAGAGACAAACTCCACAAAGAGTGCCGTGTGCCCTGACGCTGGCGACGGTCATGTCGAGCCGTTGTATCTAGGGCACCGTCGCAGAGAGCTTCCGTTCAGGTCAGCTGTGGTGTCCTGCTTTCAGCTCATGCTTCAGTGCTCACTTGTATTCATTAAGAAGGCATGTGTGATATTGAGCTGTGGCCGTACCAACCCTGAACCAGTAGCGCCTCGTAACAGCGTAATTTGGTGGGTTCATGGGTCCTTTGGGACGGTCGCGACGCTCACACTGGCGCGGCTGATGCGCCTGGAGCTTCGGCGCTTCCTCGACACACGCTCCCAGTGATAGAAAAAAACTCATGGGTTGTGACGGGGTAACTGTAACACCGAAACACCTGAAGAGCGTTGGCCCTGCAGCACGGTTCAATACTCGGTGGCTGTGCTACATTCGGAAATTCGGGGCAAGGTGATCTGCACAGTCCGAGGAGGAGCACCTGAATCCAATGCGTCCGAGCAGCCCGCTCTTGCTCCAGTGAGCATGCGGCTGATGCTCCCTGCTGTTTTCAGCTGCGTGTCAAAAGCTCAGAGATGCTCTAGGGGCACCATCAAGTTGATGCCACGACTCAGGCAAACATTTGCACACTATCACTGTGATGGTGAGCACGCACGTCGACCATTATCATCCCAAGCTTGCGAAAGACCAGAGGCAGTACTGGATTATGATGAAATTATGATGATGCTGCTGCTGCTGCTGCTGGTGCTGTGGTGCTGGTGCTGGTCCTGCTGCTGCTACTGGTCATGGTCATCACCATCACCCTGTATCACTATCACCATCATCATGACAAACATCTCGGCAGTCACCGTTGGCATCCGATTCGAACTCGCTGTGTTTCAATTACTTTCCCTTGCGCTGTGCTACAGTCACCCCCCACGTTTAGTGATCGTCATTCCACCAATGTGCGCACGGACAATGTTAATCACAATCAACACAGGTCTGTCTTTGAACTTCGACGTTTTTTATTGTGTTAAGCTGCAGCCCTGCAGACCGTTTAGGGAATGTTGGATGGTGACAACATCTTCACCCAAGGCCAGTGCACACTCGTAGGACGGGCAAACCGAAGGATGACTGGGTCGGTACCGTAGCCAGCATAAATAATCCCGGCCAGTTACAAGAGTTCAATGATTGTGCTGTTGCTAGACTGCCTTTTACCATAGCTAACCCAGAGGACACGGCTTTTTGCAGCTTGCTTGCCTCGTCGCCCGGAAGCCCTCTGCCCAGATACTCGAACTCTTGCTCAGAAATACGGTGCTTTTAGCTGTGCTTTTCGTTTTCACTACATCATGCTGCTCGTGTGTTTGCACATGGACCATTGAATCATCTGTGCACGTGTGCGTGCAGTTGCTTCGCATAGGTAAAGCTGAGAGTGTTACAACCATGTATGTGCATGGCTGTGTAAGTGCCGTGTATGTGCACAACAGGTCAGGGTGAACTGTAGCTGCGAATCTGATGCATCCCACCTTGCCACCGGCAGCGAAACGGAGCCGAAGCTCTGAGTTTCAGGAGCTTTGGCAATACTCGCGGATGCATCCTTTGTTCGGGAATTGGCACGAAATCGACACTGCCAGAGAAGCTAGCCAGAGCTTGCCAGCTGTAGCAAAAGACACCGCAGCGGCCGATCCCCTTCGTGTTCCAAAACAGGCGAAATGCCGTTGTGCTTGGCGCCACAGCGAAAGGCTGCCAAGATGCCTCTGTCTCTATGGAGTTTGGTTCGCCAGGAGGACATTCCGCAGACCTGATCAAAGAACAGCCGGATGAGACGTACGAGGGGAAGTTGGGCCTTGCCCTTCGCAACATGAACTCGCTCCTGGGTCCCGCGAGCCACAGAGCCCGCATAGAGGGTACGGGGTCGCTTTGCATGGAAGCTTCGACTTGAGAAACATCTCCGGATCGTTCGGCTGCACTCCTGTCGATCCCTGTCCATGCTTCGAAATGAATGAGGGGTCTGCGACGCAGAACCGAGCACTGGGTTTCGAGGTGACGAGCATGCCGACCACCGAACTGCAAATCAGGAGGCGCATTTTCTAATGCTTCGACGAGGCACGTGGATTCTGGCAGTGCCGGGCACAGCGACAGCGACATCTGGCTGTCTACTTTGCCATTGCGGCCTGCATGCAGGGCTTGGCATCCAAGCTTTCTTCAAACCCAGCAAATCCAGGAATATGCTGACAGACTACCAGCTCTACGCATGACAACGACTAACATCCACATCCCACATCACTGCGCGGTGTCCATCTGCAAAGGGCGATGAACAGGGCTTCTTTTTTTTTTCGAAGTGCCAGGGCAGAAGTCACCACAAGATGATTTTTACAACTCCGTTCGAGCGAAGTGGGCCAGCCTCGGCTGGCCGCCACACTGGCGCAGCTGAAGATGGTATCGCCTCAGCTGTGAGTTGCAACCAAACCAGAATCCCAGGCGGGCACGGTAGTTTCATGACAAAAACATCCAAAATCCAAAAAATCATCAGCCACCGAGATTCTTCTGGGGGTACTGCTCCAGTGGTCGATTGGTGGCACCTTGGAGCACGAATTGAACCAAGCATAATTAGTTGGCCTGCCCGCCCCCGCCAACTTATTCAGCTTGCTGCACCCCGGAAGCTGTCCTCCATCTCGCGATCTCCCTGGCATAGCACCTGATCAGCTGAAAATACTGGTACAACTTGCAGTACATGAATTCGGAAACCCTAGAGCCCTGAGGACAAGGTAGCCACTCTCCAAGCCGCCGATGCAACTCCCAGAACTCCTCCTCGGGACATGCACGCTACGTTGGGGACAGCCGCACAAGCACGATACTAGCATCTCTCACGGTCCTGTGAGCGGAAGCTCTCGGATGGCCACGACATGCTTGCAGCGCACTATTGGCTGCCCCTTGAAAGGTGGCAGCTGCAGTTGCTTGTGCCCTTCTTCCCAGTAGAGCAACGTCCGCAAGCTGGCGGCCAGCAGCTCTGGCAAGGCTTGGCAAGCAGAGCTGACGGTGAACTAGCAACAGAGACCCCAAATATCACCAAACCCATCCAAGAGCGGCTGGGCTGACCCTGGGGCCCGTTGATCGACTCTCTTCCTTTAGCATGCCCACGCCTTGAAGCGAAAACCTCAGCTGAGCTGTCCGCAGCAGGGATCTCTCAGCAGGAATGTTTCCTGCACAAGTGCCCAAGCGTTGCTTGGCGTTCGGGGCCTAATCTAGGCCCCGTACTCAAATAGAATAAGATGGAATGCGAGAAAAGGGCAAAAGAAGCAAACAGGAAGGAAACGAGAACGAGAATGAGGATAACAACCCGTCGTGTTCGCGTGCCCCCACCCAGCCGCCCGGCACGCACACTCTTTTTTTCTTTCACGAGGCGGCTCGTCGTGCTTCGCTCAAGCGGTCGCCCGACCCTGCTATCTCTGAAATCCTGGGTCAGGTCTTACATGACCACCTTTCTTACTTCAGGCGAGGAGCCGATGACCCCAGCCGAGCTTACTCGGGGGACTTCCTTTTTTGAGTACCTTGGCACAGGAGGTACACGTAGGGAAAACCTGAAGAACCTCCCCCCTCACAGCGGCGATAAGGGTCCCCGCTCCAAGACGGACCAGGCTGGGCATGGCACCGTGATCGCCCTGCGTTTGCCGCGAGGAAAGGCTTCCCCAATGCCCGGCGTGCTGCTTGAGGGGGCAGTGGGAGCGACGAGTGACCTTGACGCCCGGCTCTTTGTGGGAAACGCAGTAGCATCCCGGCAGATGCACTGCGATTGGCTGCTCATGCCGCGCGCGTCGCCGTCCCCGAGCAAGGCACCGCCGGCCAAGTCCCTGCAAGCCAAAGGGGCCTTGCAGGTGTGGAGGGTTGCGCTGCGAAAAGGCCGACAAAGAGGACGCGGAGCTCTTCTTTACGACCCCCGCCCCAGCCCTTTCGGCAGGGCCAGGGGGTGTGGGAGGCGGAGGGGCGGCTGCACTTGCAGCTGCCCCCGCCAGCACTGGGCCGGAGCCGGCCAAGAGGAAGATCAAGATCGACGGATGCTTCAAGGTCCTGGAGAAGTACAAAGGGGGACCGGTCAGACCGGAGACCGAAGCCTCTCCGGAGCAAGTGTCGGCGCTCAAGGTCAGGCTCGTGGACTTGGACGTGTCCCTCTATGCGGACTTCGCCCTCTGCGTCGGCTTCCAGCATCGTTTCGCTAAGAGCATCAAGTTCTAGAACCACATCCTGCAGCCGGATGGATCGCTCAGGACGGCTTAGGTCCCGGGACCCCCGAACTACGACGCCGGGCTCGCATCATGGAGTGTGTTCGAAACGACCTGATCATGTTCGAGGTCAAGGATGCCGCGGGCGATAGGATCCCCATAGTCACCCAGAGCACCTTGGATCTTTACAGGGATCGGTCCCGTCACCTGGTAATTCGCTACCCGCGCTACCCGCAGGAGGGGCCGGGGTTCCACCGGCTCCGCCGCGGCCTTTGCCATCTGGCGGGCCGCCTTTGCAGCTCTGATGACTGGGGCTTCCCTGAGATAGCCCATCATCGGCCCAGAGTCATCACCACCTCCTCGGCCAGGCCAGCGTGGAAGGCGAGGAGCGCACCCGTCACCACCCTGAGAGTGGGAACCGTACAAGCGGCTTTCCAGCAAGGCGGAGAAGCCCCCAAAAATGAACATTGCCCAAGGCGACGTCGACGGCTGCCCAAGCTGCGCATCCGTGGGCAGATCCGAATCCATGGCCGAGAAAACGGATCTTGTCCTCAGTGCCCCCAAAGCCCAGGCCCAGCTGGTCTTTGGTGACACATTCGAGCCACAACTTGACGGCGAAATCAAGACCCAGCCTCCGGCAAACACTGGGCTGTTATTATTAGCACTTCGTGCAATGCATTACAACTAATTTCCTATTGTAATCTTCTATAACTAATTCCAGGAAGTCATCTATAACTTATCTGACATTATACAACTTACCCCTGAAAATAGGTCTAATATCCTTCTGTCTCATTGGTTTTATGTAGGTTGCAAGAGAGTGGTTCCTGTGTTTACTTGAAGAAAGATAAGGAAGTGAAAAGAAAGGAACAACGCATGCTTTCTTCATTTAAACACAGGACACCACGAACGATACCCAAGATTGAGTCATTAAAGTCTAGGTCATTCTCTCATCAACCTAATTCCTGTTACAATCTGACCCTTTCCTCTTCATCAGATCAGCTCCCTGGTTCCTCAATCCTTCAGAAAATTAAGCAACTCTCGAGCCTGGCACTGCGGCCCGTCCTCAAGACTCTTCGGTTCCCTCGTCCCAGGGCTGCGGCCTGGGATTGCGAGGTGAGCCGTCAAACAGCAAAGTACGCGTGGTCTTCCTCGCTAGGGCTGCTGCGTCGTCTGACCGTCTTGCATCCACCACTTCCCTCTTGGGCCTTCGTAATACCTGCCACGCAGTTTAGCGCTTCTCGCATTGGACTCGAACACGCGGACAAATCTCGGCGAAGCTTTGCGGGATGGGGGGGAACATCTTTGCATCACCTCTATACGATCACACCTACGCACAAGAATCCGCGCTGAGATGTAGCAACTCGAAGAAAAGAAAGACCGCCACCGCGTCCTCCTGCAGCTGCAGCTGCCTCCCTCTTGCGCGGACTTGCAGCACTGTTCTTCCGCATGTCCAAGCTGCTCGCGGCGAAGGTCTGTAAGAAGTTCGTCCAAGTGGAAGAGATGCTCCGGATACTCCAACTCATGCACTCTCTTTCAATCCTTGCCTGCTTAGAGATGGTTGGGATGTCCACTTTGACATTGTCTCCGGGTTCTGGATTTGCCCTGTGGCCAAGCGAATTGCTTGGGATACAGGCGTGACAGGCTGCGGCTCTAAGCCCTGGCAGGAGACCTCCAAGTAGTTTATTGCTCTGTCTTCCTTTTCGTCGCCGTCCTCACCTACGTCTGAGTCCTTCGCCGTCTCTTCGTTACACCTCCAGGACTTCCTGCAAGCGCTGCTCGAAGATCTCCACCTATGCCTGTGCACCTTTGTGCCACCTGCTTCGGACTCGATGCTTGCCTTGCCTGTTGTGCTTTGCACCCTTCAGCCTCTTCAGGCTTCCTGGCCGGGGCCTGTCGCCCTGTCCAGGTGACTCTCGGCTTGTTGCCTGATATCTCTCCACCCAACGATCCTTCTCCGGCGTGGATCAGGGGCTCACCTTCTTGTCCACATTGTCGGCCCCTCTGCCGGAAAAGCCTCTCGTCCCACCACCCGCAAAGGAGCTCAACTCCAACACTCATGATTGCTACTGTGCAGCAAGCGATTCCGGGCAGGTGGGGCCTCAGAAAATGCTCCTCACATCGCAGAATTTCCCTAGTCTCAGCATCGGGACTTGCGCTAAGCTCTAAGCGACAGGCAGACTTGCATTAAGACTGGCCGAAGCGTACCACCAGCTGACCCCATCGTCGTCGTACATTTCCCAGCCTTTGCCCGGCCTCGGGACAGTGGATCGGCCAAAGCCCAGTCAGTCCGAGCGTCAGTCAAATTTCTCATTTTGACAGAACCATCGCAGAAAGCATATTTGAGAGAGGAACTCTTCAAGCACAAACTGCTGCAAGAGTCGACATGCTAATGTCCTCGTTTGTTGCCAGAGGTGCTGACATTTCACGCCGAAACAGGAAGACAGAGTAGTGCTTCGGAAAAGAACGGGAACACACAGAAAGCATGAACTTTGCACAGCACGTCGCTTCGTCACTGTACCTGCAGGTCATGATTTTTCGCTGGCACACACACACAGAGACACACAGAGCCTGCTGGGCAGGACGAGCTTGTAGGGATGTCGTGTGTTAGTTCGAGCAAGGCCAGGCCAGGCCCCTCAAGAATCTTGCTCTGAGGCGACGGCGGAACCCTTGGTGGACCTTTCTTCTCCTTTCCAGCCTGCACTGGGTCAACAAGCGAGGGGGCGAGGGTTTCTGCCATGTCTGCGGGTCTGCCAGCAGCCCGGTTGGATGCAAGCAAATAAGAGGCCAGATATCCCCATGCACTATGCCAGCATTGCCCCTCCTCCTCATCATCATCGCCACCGTAATCGACCTGGCATTCTTCACAGTCGCAGTATTCACATATTCACAGACGGACAGTAGTTAAGTCGTTACTCAGCATTCACGAAACCATGACCCACTCCTGCCACTCCTACAGTATGCATGCAATAACATTGTGCTGCAGGAACTGAGACACGAAGCAGTCCGAAACGGACCACTCTTCCAGCTTGGCTTTGGCTCTGTCACACAAGCACAAGGAAACACAGCCAACCACACACACACACACACGCACGCA